GGAGCGCGCTGTGTAACCGGGAACACGATTTGGTACTCCCTCCCTCCTAACCCCCTCCCGAAGAAGATTGTAACCTTCGGGCGATGATACAGATTTTCATCAGGACAGGAAGTCATTGCACTTTATGCTGAATGGGCAGCGAGTCAACAACCCGTTGTCTCTCTATCTTTCTCCTCTTCTCTCTCCTTCTATCTCTCATTATCCGTGTACGCGTTTACACACCTTTACAATCTTCTCTCTCTCCCTTCTCCCCCTCTTCCCTACTTTCCCCTCTCTCTTCCCTTTCCGCTCTCGTCGAGCGCGAGAAGAACCGTGTGCTCGCGAGGAAGAGAGAAAATCTCCGGACGAGAGGCGGAAAGGGGCGAAGAAAGGAACGAGGGGCAAGAGGAGGTGGAGGAGGCGGTGGAATACAGCGGAGGAGAGGGTTGGAGAGAAGGTGGGTCTGGGAATCGCTTCGCGCATCGGGGAGCACAGCGCGCTCGCGTAATAACGCGATCGGAAGTAAGCGAGTCTCACGCGTGCACGCACTTTTCGTGCCGACACGCGTGCGCGTACATCTTTCTAAGCTTCTCTAGAGGCTTGTGTAAATGCCGCGCGCCGACGACGACGATGATGATGATGATGATGACGACAATGACGAGGTGCTCCCGTGAGCTCGTGAAAACGCACGCATATAACGCGTCCTATTTTTATATTTATATGTGCGGCGGGAGAGCCGCAGAGAGAGAGAGACAGAGAGAGAGAGAGAGAGAGAGAAAAAGAATCACGCGATATGCGTTGCGAAAATCTGCACGCGTCAGCGAAGGAAGGAGAGGCTCTCTCGAAGGTCGACCTTTTTCCTGCTTTTTCCTTCTTTTTTTTTATCGACCACAAGGCGCGCTCGGGGTGGACGAAGTACGTACATACGTAGACAGAGAAATGGGGTGAAATTGTCGGAAAATTTCGAGATCCGTGCGGCGCACTCGATCGAAGGAAATTACATCGAGCCGCGAAGGCGACGGAAGGTAAATCTCGACATAATCTATGCGAACGTATCTTGGATTTTTCCTCGGATCGTTACATCTCGCGTCTCCTTCCGATGATTTAATAGTCGGGGATTCTACGAGGAAAAAGAGAGAGGCGAGGATAGATAGAAAAAAGAATTCGTCTGCTGCACATTAATTCGGATATGCAGCGAGTTCCGTGTCGATCGAGCGCGGGCAAGTCGAGCGTGCGAAAATGCGACGGAAAATTTTAATGCATCGTGGAGCAGGGTCGTTCGCGGACGGACCAACGAGGTGAGGCAAGAACGACATCGTCAACACGGCACGGCTACGCTCAAGTCGCACATACACACACGAGTTCCGCTGTTCTCGCGCGGAAACTGCCGCCGCAACTTCTTCTCTTTCTTGAGAACAATGGTCGGCCGGGGTGCTCATTTCCCGTAGGCGGGAAAACGCGCGAGCGAATGTGTCTCGTCCACTTCATTCGTGATCCTCTCTTGTCGACCCGAGGGAGAGCCACTCTCTCTTTCTCTCTCTTTCCTAGACGCCCTTCATGTTTCAAAAAGAACGTCCGCGAGCACGTTCACACGCGACACCGTTATCGGGGAAAAAGTCAGTAGCGCGCGGAGAACATCTTTACGAAAGGCGCGTAACGATTTCGGGAAATGCATCTTTCATCCTTACGTCGACTCGAGAACATTCGCGCGCGCGATGAGCATACCCGAGAGAAATTCGAATCCTAGCTCCTTTGGCCTAAACGGAGAGTTCAAAGTTTCAAGAGACTCGGGAAAACGGTGGGAGCAACGTTGCGGCGTGCCTCGTTTTGCACAGTCTCCTCTTTTTCACGAAAGCGCTGGACGATATCACGACCCGAGATTTCCGCCAGAATTCGAGGCTTACCTCGATCCTATCAACGTTATCGTCGGTGGTGCAATTAAACGTCCAGAAGACAAAACGCGGGGAATGCGCCTAATAGTCTGTGATCCTAATAATCGCGGGTGTTATCGATAATTAAAGGGCCATTTAAGCAATTCAAAAGTCATTTCACAGCAAGATAAGAATATGAAACTTTGCGTCAGCAGTCGCAATCGCGGGTCTTACGAAAATTCGCAGCCTCGTTCACCGGGCGAACGATCGCGCTTCCTCGGCGTATCAAATTTTCGCGAGTTTTCCGTGTTCCTTGGGGTCGATATACCTATTTCGCCGTGTTCCACGGGGAAAAATATGAAACGAGTCGGCGTTTTTACTCCGCCGATGTGGCTGAATAGTCGAGGAAATGTAGAAATGCGCCGGGTATACCGATATATTGCTGTTCTATTTTCTGAACAGGACTCGAAGTAGACACGTCAAGAGGAGCTGTCACTCAGTGATTTATACGTTCGTCCGCAGCGAACGAAACGTGAGGCCGCTGCCGGTCTTCTCTTCAAAATCGCGCACAGATCGCAGGTTATTATCGATGCGAGGGCAGCCTTTATGAGACAGAATAAAAAAAAGCATGTCTTCGAGAATACGCGATAATATCATTGTACTCGTCGGCCAAAAGTTTAGAAGAGTTTTCGTTGCCATACAGGTCTAAAAGTTACCAGTCAGTTTGTCACGAAATAAATGACTCAGTCATATCTCACGTAATATATGAAGAAGTATATCCTTTTCTCTGTAGCATAGATTGCTTGTATCGTGTTAGTTGGGTGTACTTGCTTAATTTGACAGCACGTCATAATTACGTTACTCTTTGCATGTACATGATAACTTAAAAAAAGCAAAATGACAAACTAATTTTGATTTTTCTTTATAGCTGTCATGATGCTTTTACAACCATTAATAGAGCTAAAATAGCTGTGATTAGACTTTTGTTATTGCAATACCAACTAATGCAGCTAAAATGGATACGGATAGTTTTAGTTTCTTTAATGGTTGTCACAACGTTTTGTCACAGCTATTAATGCAGCTCAAATGGTTATGGCTGCATTTTTATTTTTTTTACTACCTGTTACAGCGCTATCGCAGCGCTGGTAGCGCAGATAATAAAAGTACAACAAAATTGGTGCCATGCATTCATTTATGCGATTTTAAAATTTTTACTCCCAGGATTTGTGTACAATTCGTTAAACAGTGTACTTCTGAATTTGTGTCCGCGTTAGTACACTTATATGTACGTTATAAATTGTAATAATTTGCAATAATTAATATCTATTAATCTCTAAATTAATGCAAGTTTAGTAAGGCGAAGATTCTGGATAGCCCGAGCTTCAATCTCATCAAGTTAAATAAAAAAAATTTATATCTTTTTTTTCAATATTTCGACTCAATTTAAAAATTAAAATTTAACTTGCATTGAATATTAATTTACATATGAAAAATATCCTCCGTTTATTTATTTATTTTTATTTCAACTGCCACTCCGAATAGCACGTGAAATATTAAAATAGTTGCGATAACATTGATAGTTTAAACCGCAGAATTTTTGTCTAGCACAGTAACTGCCACAAAGTGGTCATAATATTTTGACAACGTTATAGCAGTAAAAGTGGGACAATATTTTTAGGCTTTGAAGACGCAGCCACAACCATTTAGCTGCATACCTATTTTGCTGTAAAGAGGTTGTTATTGAGTATATTTTCATATAAGTACAAAAAAATAACTCGCACTTTCTAATTCTTGTTAATATTAAAGTGACTTTAAGAAATGTCGTTTTTTATATAATTGTGTTAAAAGAAGTCAAAATAATATTTCATTTCTATATGAAATAAATACAAAAAACACTAAGTTATCAAGTTGACATTAATATAACATATTAAAACAGTACGAAAATGATAATATATCGTCAATATCTTAATTTTATATTGAAATAACAGTCAAAAATAGGTAACACATGAAAATTTTAACAATCACACGCAATATTTCTAATTGTGTATATAAGGATGTTTTTCCTCTTGTACTTCTATGAAAATGTGCTCAATATTAAAAATTATTGCATGCATTTTTTTAATCAGTATGCGAAAAGCGTGACAACCAAACCCAAAAGTATAGGGATCGAAACGTTTCCGTTGGTCGAAATATCATATACGATCTATCTTGATTTCGTGGTCTTTAAATAAACGAAGCCACCGAGTAATATTTCACTCGCGCGAGGATTTTGTGTATCAAATAAATAAATTATATTTACATATGGATAATGAGATAAAATTCGTATAATATAATGTATAATATAAAATTTATAATGTATAATATAGGAAACGGACGGACAAAAGCATATTAATGTAATGTAAATACAATTTTCTTGATTAGTGATCAAAAATAACGTTCCTTTCCCACAGAAATTTGTTAAAATTGCAGCAGAATAAAGAGATATTGAAATTAAACATATTTGCACATAAATTTCAAGAAACATTAACACGTCGATTACCATTGTGGTCACCGGTGATTGACGCTATTACAATGCTAACGCATTTCATAAAAATGTTTTTTGAAGAGTATTTCGTTACTGAATTAGTGCACATCTGATTGATTCACATGTGTAGTTTGTGTACGTTTGTACATGTGCAAATAATTGTACATATCGAATCAAATATACAGCTAGTAAAAAGCTAACAAAACCAGAAAATAATGCTTCTTAGGAAATCAATTTATTTATTGTACTTTTGCTGTTCAATATGTAGTAGACTTGTTAATCTAATAAAAAATTATTTCGTCCACTAATATCATTTGATATGTAATCACTATCGTTGTGCAAAATACACCTCATATAGAAGCTTAAATTCTCTCATTTATCATCAAACTCTATTTTTCATTCGTCAAACTTTATTTCTCTCTTTTCCGCACAAAAGTGTGAATATTACGAATATAAAATGTCGAATAGATCAGTGAAATAGCAAAAAATATCAGATAAAAGAAACGAATTCTAAACGTATTCAAATCGACTTATGATATCGAGATAGATCGCTTATGACTTTTACGCCTCGCTTAAGTCGGATTTCGACCAATGAATAGTAGTGTATGAATGAAAATAAGACTCACTTGCACGTCGAAGTGTGTGGTAGTGTCTTGCGGTTGTGGAGGACCCTGCTGCTGTTGCTGCTGTTGCGACGGCGGTGGACCTTGCGGGGGTGGAGGCGCCTGGGCGCCAAACAGCTGCGCGGCCGCGTGCGAGTGTGGATGTTGCAGGTGATGAGCCGGCGGTGCCTGATGATGCTGCAAATGATGCGGTGGTGCCGGCGCGAACGCTGCCATAAAATGTTCCTCATTGCCGACCACGTCCACGCCGGGTTTTAGCAGTACGACGCCACCGCCGCCGGCGCTCACCGCCAATGTCGCAGCCGCGTTCTTTTGAAACTCTTCCTCCCCCGGTGAAGGCTGACGGCTACCGGGTGTGCGACTGTAACGAGAATGAAAAATTAGTATCGTGACGCAATCATTAAACATTAAGTTAAACGTGTAGATATTCGAAGGAACAAAGATGCTAACTTGATCTTCTAAGAATGCAGAATTATCATAAATTCTTCTAATATTTTGTCTTAAAATTTGTATTTAATATTGGCGCATATAACTGTTATCTTACGTTGATTGATAGCTCTCGTAATCTCCCCCAGCATTTGCAAGTTTTTTTTCTCTGTACCAAGCAATATTAAGAAAGTAAATGGGCATCCTGATATGAATAATGTATGTGAGAAAGGCACGTCCTGTAAAATCACACTCTTTTTCTTTATATAGATTATCATAATTACCATAATATGGCTTATATGTCGAAACAAGCGTTCTAGATCTGTACATCTAAAAATGTATAATATTACTTTGTCATGACAATCCCTGATAATTTTGCTGATAAATAAGTAACGAGTCTTTATCGAAGAAACGTCTTATACTTATTTCGAGAATGTTTAACATTTCTCTTGGTCAATCCGTCTTGTAATTACTACGAGCTACTCCGTGGCTACAAGTCCACGGCAAAGCCGATACGTGAGTAAGCGTAGGAATCGTACTTTTATTTTCTATATAAAGAAACTGACGTGATTTTCCTTCGCGATTATAAACGGGTATCGTAAATGTCAGGGACCTCTTATTCCGAGTGACGAATGTGCGGAATTCCTGATCCGCACGAGAAAAATCCCTCCCAAGCTCTCGATAATAATTCACGTGCGTTTACCTTTTCTCTCGCGTCGTGTATGGCTGTTTCTAATGTGTCGACAAAGTAGAGTGCACGGAAAAACGTATGGAAAGCGTGCTCACGTAACACATGATAAAGGCAATCAGAGCAGCCATATTGACGTAACCGATCTCGCGAATAACGCGTAAAGAGAGGCATCGAGGTGACCACGCTCGAGGATTCCGTGTATACGCAATTGGCCGCTCATCGTCGTAACGGTGCCGCGTTTTGCATAATAATAGCGAACACGCGCGTAACAAGACGCAATCGGCGAGTTGTCGTCGGGACGATTTGCGTAACCGATCTCGCGAGAAAGGACAACGCTCACCGCGACGAAGAGAGGAAGACAGAGAAACCGGTGTCGACTGATGACCTGATGTCATTACCATAATGACGCGAGAAACAACCGTAATAGCTATTCTATTACCTGTGACACGCTCTCGTGTTCGTTCGCCGCGATCATGTTCCATTGACTTTGACTCGCGAAGCATCCGAAACGCCTATACTGTGGAGAGAACGCACAGAAGAAACGCGCGCCAACCTGCCAGGCGGAAGAATGGCCGCCGTCTGAGCCGGCGAGCGACGCGCCGTCGGTAACGTCGCTCGCTGGCGCACCGTGCGGCCGCCGCGGTCCGCCAGATGGCGCGACGTTGTCGAAAATTCGAGCGAGGGAAGAACTGTCGTCGCGAAAGGAAACTGGCGAGAACGCGATGTCATCGGCCGCGCGTAGGCATGCCCTTGACAGCGCACACGCAGGCCAACTATCGCTATTACGCTATTTCGCCGTGCTACTTTACGGTGGACGTAACATATAGAAAGAGTTATCAGATACGGGATAATAAGCGGCCGAGAAACCACGTAACATGTGTTATTCATCGCGCTGTCTTTTATCGTGTTCGCGTCTACAATTGCTTAATTATATGACAAACTGCAAATCTGCAAGATTACAAGCCATACATCGGAGATATTTGTTTGTTCTTTTTTGTTTTTTAAGGATACCTTGCAAAATAATAGCGATCCGATCTGGTGTACAGGCTGCCTCAAATATAGCGCGCATTTTCATTCATTCTTACAAATTCTGTGTTTAATATCATTATCATGCCATCTTCTAACAGAGTTACATCTTATATATTTTGACATTTTATTTTCGTCTTATGCATTTTATATTTATTGTATCTGATTTTATCTTATGAAAATGTCAGATCGTGTTTTGTAAATTGCAATCTTTGAGATCTTTGGAACGAGCACGAAAATAGAAACAAACACAACAATCTACGCTGTTTTTTATATAATAGATATATGATGCTGAATATTAAAATATTTAAGACACAACTGAGAGTTTTTCTTGAAAGTGAACTACGCCTTGAAACGTTAAAATCTATATATGAAGTATGCCTATTATACATCTTCGATCATACACTTTGTGCAATATTTAATACTATTTAACACTAAGTAACTTAATCGGCGAAACGAGTTTCATAGTACTCACTTGAATCCTTTGTCGTCGTCCAGTCCGTTTTGAGACGCCAATCCGTTACCCTGTGGTCCAGTGTCATCCTTTGAATTATCAAAGGGACTCGCCGAACCTTTCTCCTTCTCTTTCTTATCCGCATCGGTGTTCTGCACGCAAAGAAGTCAAGATATAGTGACACAGCGATGCAATATACAGTGGCATGCAAAGCTTTCCAAGGGCGTCGTTTTGCGATTCACCACGCAAATCGAACATCGTTTGGAAAATTTTGCACGTAGCAATAACATGCTGAAACAATTATATACAGACAGATGGATATATTCTCAAGTTTCGCAATATCTTAATTCAAGTGCAACTTTTAATTCGTTGATACGTCTGTGAGAAAGCAATTAATGAAAGTGTGTGTGCTGGCATATTACTCACCAATCTCAGAGAGACCATTCGTGGTTCCAATTCTTTTGGTGTGGTGGGACTCGATCCAAGAACGTACTCGACCATCTTAACTCCCAAACCACCTGTTTCACTGCAAGAGGGACAACACGCGTTACAACGTCTTGCAGTCATTAGAAAACGAATATGCACGATCTACATCGACGACGAAATCGGCAAAAGGGACGTCTTATAAAATGTTAACGAACCTGCTTCTGGGGCTGAGCACTGTTCCGACCTCTGATGCCTGATGGTGGTATCCCGTTCCAACACCCACGCGTCTACCAGTGCCCATAGAAATTGGCTGTGACACCGCATGATCTGGAAAGAAACAAGTACATGTATATATATATATATATATATATATATATATATATATATATATATATATATATATATACATACATACACACACACACACACACACACGCGCGCGCGCTGTTATATTTGTATATGGTATTCGAACCGCAATACTCGGAGATAACGTAATTCGCGGTCGCTCGTCCCATTAATTCCGAGTCATAGTACGAGTATACACGTCTGTGAGAAATAATATTCTCTTTCCTATGAAAAGACGTCACGAATGTGCGACGTATCCGATTCTCTTCCTCTCTCTCTCTCTCTCTTTCCCGACAACAAGTCTGAGTCAATACAAGGGAGGATCAATAGACACAAATATATAGTATGTGTAACAACGTACCGTCGTCTCTCGCTCTCTTTTTCTCTCCCTCTTTCTCACCGTGACGGAATTCGTGTCGCGGAAAAAGTAATCATTCCGTACAATTCTTATGCGCTGACGTCCATTTTTTACACGAACATTATCCGGCCGCCCGCTTTCTTATATTTCATTTATTATACGTCACTCTATGAAAATTTCAACCACGAGCGAAAAATGTCAATTTCGACCACATCATTCACGACTGTCGTGTTGAATTACCGAAAACTCCCTCCCTTTTGTCACACTTCACTTTAATAAACGTGTGCATAATTCAATCTACACATGTTCCATATTTGCGAGCGAAAATGCACATCGTTTCTCGCGATGGTATAAATGACAATTTACTATTACTTATTAATCCAACGAACGAAATTCTTCGAGCGATCCTGAACCATCAGACGTAAATGACAGTACGTGATGAAGCTAATTCATTCCGACGTAAAGCGGCGAGAAAAGAAAAAAAAAGCAGCGTGTGATTTCTCGCTCCTGACGTCATAATTCAATATGACTGCGAAAAAGCGGCAGAAGCCGCAAAAAAGTCTTTATTGCCAAACTGTTTTAGATCCGTATCCTCGAAAGACGGAAATTATGCGCGCTCGCAGAGCTATTGTGACGACTTGTTTGGAGGAACATTACGATCTTCATTTCATGTTTAATTTATGATTAACCTCGTGCGATAAAAGCAGCCCCTCGCAAGAGAAGGCTTTTTGGAAGACACGATACACACGTGTCTACACGAAAATCGCGAATGATTATTATCAATGACAGCAAACTTCGTTCATGAATATCGCAATTTGGAGGGTAGCGTGTTCCCGGGTACCAGGTAACATCGATTGAAGAAGAAAGACTCCTGTCTGTCGACACATCTGCGGGACATTGGAGCCACGTCGAAACGGAGGGAGGGACGATTATGCGGAAGTGGAATTCGTTCAAACGGCAGTTCGCCGCCATCGACGAGCGGCAGCTGCCGGCATGAGCATTATCGAACGAAATTCCGTTGGGCTCTCTCTCCTCTATATATAGATGTAGAAGTTTTTCCGCCGTTTCATGCGGCTCCATATGACGCCACTACGCGAGCGACCTACGTGAACAAGGGGTTGGTTGGTTGGTTGGTTGGTTGGCTAGTTGGTTGGTTGGTTGGTCAGACGGTTGGTTAGTTGGTTAACTAGTTGGGTTGGTTGGTCGGTTAGTTGGTCGGTCAGTCGGTTGATCGGTCTGTCTGTCGGTCTGTCGGTCGGGGTGCTCGCTAACGCCGTTTGCTTGCTCGGGGTGGATCAGTAGGTACGACCCTGGGCGTTGGGACGTTGCTCCCACCGCCACCGCTGATGCCGGGCGTCTGTCGCCATGGCAACAGCCGCGTTGCACCCATCGCGGTGACGCACACACGATCGCGACCACCGCGCGCAACCGAAGCCGGTACACGCCGCGCGAGGAATCAGGTGTTTCGCGAGCACCCCGTACATATTAGACACACCACGAACACACCTTGACAATCGCTCGGAAACGGGGGAAATCGCTCCGCTTCTTCGAATCTCTTCTTTTCTCTTTCTCGAAGATCTACAGGTACCTGGGCGCATCTCGATCGCTTTGAAGACTATGACCGGGTTGGTCAGGATTAAGGGGATGGAAAAGACAAGAACAGGAAATAGAGGAGGAGAAGAGACGCGAAAGAAGCGACGCCGTCGTGACTCGAATATTTCTGATGCCGTAATTTGATGATTGTTGTTAACCGTTATTATTTTCTCTTCTGTGGAGAAAACAACGTCGAAAGAGTGCAGCTCGCGGTTAATATTTCGCGTGATGGAGGAAGGGGGATCCGTTAGACAACGTAGGAATTTTCCACGAGCGAGTTTTTGTTGTACGACGCGAGTCCATTGGGCTTTCCGTGACGCGCGACAACTGACTGACTGACTTTCAGTAATCAGACACTGTAACTTACATACGGACACGTAAATATATACACGGACCAACGTGTCAGGTTTGTATACGCAAATGACTTATGCTATATATGTGTTTCTGCGTCGTTATGATACACTCATAATATGATAGAACTGAATTGTCTCGTTAACTACGTACAAATATATTTACTAACTTGACGCGCCCATTTCTCCACTTTTGCTAATAATATCTCGCGAATTTTCATTTCTCATGATTGTTTCCAAGACTGAGAATATCTCCGGGAGCATTCTGTCGTGACACGACATCAAAGTTACTGAAATCTACCTGTTGTTTTTACAAGAAAAACTATATCTTATTTATTTCGTGACAGAAATGATAGGAAAGCGAAAAGGAGGCAAGACGAGTAGTAAAGAAATGAGATCAAAGTATAAGATAAAAGTATCAATGTCCGGACACGTATCTAATCTTGGACATTCTTATTGCTGTGGTCTTCAAATACGAATATTTAAACTTTTACCATTAAATATACATACACATATTGAATACATATTGAATATATACATTCTATTGAATATTTAAATATTCGTATATAAAGATCAAAACAATAAGAATGTAAAGGATTAAGGAATTGGTATTTTTCCTTTGTACCTAAAGAATATGGAAGTGGAAAGTGATGACTGTTCGTATCAATGTATATCGTAGACTTGAAAGTGCCAACGGACACCACTATCTGCAGTGTGAAGAAAACGACTAACAACGATAAATGAACGACAGCCGACACGCGCTTCAACGCAAATCACGTTTCACAAAGGATTTAAAGAAGAGTACCAAAGAGACATTCCAAGTTGTTCTTACGTTTCAGCTTTTGATTACTGATTGCGTGGCTCTTCATTGCTCACATGTTGCTCTCGGAAATGTTATGAGCGCCGCTTTTCAGTGCCTCAGCATACGCAAGCCGCCGCCGCCGTCATGGTATACACGCGGCCGTTAGCTGTTTACCTCTCATGTTTATCCGACTCCGGTTTCGATTATCTCATCCGAAAGCGAGGCCGCGCTCGAGTTTCACACGAGCGCATACGCATTTTGCCGTCGCCGACGACCGGTCTGCGATCGAGAAATGCCGCTGAACGCGACAACGCGGTCGACGAACGCGCGCGCGTGTACGTCGTCGCCGAGGCGACGCGAATTTCATCGTACCTGACGTGCTCCAGGTGGAATCCCGCCACATCTGGTGGTCGCCCAGGTGAAGTATCCCACCGCCTTTCACACCCCCTTCGTCCTTGGAGCCGCCGTCGTCTACGCCCCAGAGCTTTTTCGCCGAAGGAGCGATCTGAAAATGTGGAAAAGCAAAGAGTTATGAGAACAGATCGTAAGTCGCGACAGAGAGGTCAGTGAACACTTTGGGGGG